AACAGTGTGTCTCTGGAGAATAAGGTGGGTCTGGTACAGGCCATGGTCTTTGCAATCACTTGTTATGTGTCAGAGACCTGGACAATGACCAGGGACGATAGAAGGAGAATTGATGTTTTTGAGCTTTGGTGTTGGAGAAGAGTGCTGAGAGTACCATGGACTGCTAAGAAAGCAAACAGATTCATCCTGTAGCTGATTAAACCGGGCTGCTCCATGGAGGCAAGGATTCTGAGACTTCGTCTGACATACTTTGGTCATGTTGTAAGGAGGGACCGGTCCTTGGAGAGGGACATCATGCTTGGGAGGATAGAGGGCAGGTGCGGGAGGGGAATGCCCTCTGGGAAGTGGATTGATTTGGTGACTGGGGCAGTCAGGATGAGTGTGTTGGTGGCAATGAGATTGGCACAGGACAGAGCAGAGTTTAGAGCTGTTGTACATCAAGCTTGATGTTGTACATCAAGTGACTTGATGGCACATAACAACAACAACAATATATATATTCATCATGTTTCTAAAATAAAATTTGAAAATTCTTTTCATATAAAGTAGATTTTATTTGAATACATTAATATACCATGATAAACCAAAAAAATTGTAGTAGTTTTAGTAAACTAGGAACCATGAAAGAGATTGATAAGCAAGTCAAAATGAGAATGCTAAAGAAATTCTTTCTAGATTTGAGGTTATCTTTTTTATCACTGTGCTAAGTAAGAAACCATACTGTATTCCCAAAGGCATGTGCTTGGAATCCACCAGCTGCTCTGCAGGAGGAGAATGCACACTCTCTTCTCGTGAGATTTACTGCCTCTGAAAACCCACCTGAGGATCATCTGTGGCTTGGTTCTGACTGGATGGCCTACACCAGCATGCTAAGCTGATCCTGACAAATTCAGAGAATCAAAACTGATATTTTGTAACTTATTCTGAAGCCATTTGGGTACAATGGGTAAGGTAATTAGTTATATAAGGCAAAAGCAAGGTTAGAAAAAGATTAGAAAGGCTTTATATCTTTGCAAATTGTAATACAAATTGGGAAAATGTTTTCTCTTACCATCCATGCCCACTCAGCACAACCTTCCATCAGGTTTCTGAGGATAAAAATCTCTTCAGGAAGACACTACCCAAGTTTTTCTTAAAAGTGATGCTTAGCCTTTGGTTAATAGTACAGCATGTTATGGACTATGCTATTAAAGGTCTCCTACCATGTTGTTTTGCTTGTTGAGTATCATGAATCAGAACCAACCCATATTTGACTCTCCAGTGGGTTTTTTGATGAAGGCAGGGTATTTCCAGGGAAGGGATCGCCCATCTTTCTCCTGCAGGGCGACTGGTGGATACAGTATGTCTTCAGGTTTACAGTGTAATTCCTTACCATTAGGCCACCAAAGCACTCTTCTCCCACCATAAATGAATACTTTCCCCCACCCCCTAATGCCAAGTATTCTTTTCCCAGCATTCCCAATTTTGTGTTGGCAATCTGTATAAGGTATTTAAGATGGAATGTCTGCCTTTCAGAAACATTGACTTGTCTTGATAGGGGAAACCTTTTGTTTTTAATCTTTAGAACTTAAAGGATGATATTATATTTGAGAATTTAGACAGATTTAGCTGTATCTTTTTTAATAGCATGAAAAATGCAATGCAGCACAGTAGAAGGAGTGGGGCCTTGGGAAGTAGATGTCTTAGTGCTCAAATCACAGCATTATAGCATACCAACAATGCGATCATGGTAAACTTCTTGACTTCTTTGAGATTTTAGTTCCCTGCCTGTAAAAAGTAGTAGAAGAGGAAGAAAGTGTTATAAGAGGCTGGGATGTTAATGGAAGTGAGTCCTAGTGGTCCAGGGGTGAAAGCTAAATGTAAGGCTGTTGGTTCAAATATACCAATGAATCCGCAGTGGAAAGTCTGACAGCCTGCTTCTGTAAAGATTTACAGCCTCAGAGACCCTGCACTCTCCTGCAGGGCAACTAGGAGTCAGAATCTGTTAACTGACAGTGAGTTTGTGTTCAGTCTTTCCTGATGACAAATTAATCAAGCCAAAGTCTCGTTGTACATGATGCCAGGAAACATTCATTCCTATTTAGGGTTTTAATAAGAGATGAAGATTACTGTTCTTTGGATTTGCTGCAAATATAATCATTCTGCTTGAAAGACATCAAAGAATGGCAGAACACCACGGATTCTCGTGGTGGACTGGACTTCCTCTACTGTCTGCGGAGTTCTCCGTTAACAAGGAGCAAAATCTGAAGAACAATAGTAATTTAAAATAATTTTATTAATTATAATTTACTAATAACTATTTTAAATTATTATTGTGAAGGAAATAGCAAAAAATAAGGCCCCAGGAATAGATGGTGTATCAATTGAAGTATTTCAGATAACAGATGTTGCCCTGGATGCGCTCACCAAGTTGTGCCAAAAAATCTGGAGAACAACCACTTGGCCAACTGACTGGAAGAGATCTATATTTGTTCCCATTCCAAAGAAAGGTGACCCAACTGAGTGTGGAAACTACAGAACAGTGTCATTGATTTCACATGCAAGCAAGATTCTACTGAAGATTATCCAAAAACGATTAGAACAGCACATCAGTAGAGAACTGCCGGAAGTCCAGGCTGGGTTTAGAAGGGGTCGTGGTACTAGGGATATTGTTGCTGATGTTAGATGGATCTTGGCTGAAAGCAGAGAATACCAGAAGAATGTCTATCTGTGCTTCATTGATTTCGCAGAGGCATTTGACTGTGTGGATCATAACAAACTGTGGCTGACTCTGAGAAGAATGAGAATCCCAGAACATTTAATTGTGCTAATGTGAAACCTATACTTGGACAAAGAGGCAATAGTCAGAACAGAGCAGAGTAACACTGCATGGTTCAAAATTGGGAACGGTATATGCCAGGGATGCATCCTGTCTCCATACCTTTTCAACATGTATGCAGAGCAGATTATCCGAAAGGCTGGGCTCTATGAGGAGAATTGTGGCATCAGGATTGGTGGGAAGATCTATTAACAATCTGCGTTATGCAGATGACACAACCCTGATTGCTGAAACTGAGGAGGACCTCATGCACTTGCTGCAAAGGGTCAAGGACTGCAGCCTTCAGTATGGACTGAGGCTCAATGCCAAGAAGACAAAGATTCTCACCACTGGACAAATTGGTAGCGTCAGGATGGATGGCGAAGAGATTGAGATTGTTCACAGCTTCAGTTTGCCACAGTCAACACTCTTGGCACCAGCAGTCAGAAAATCAAAAAGCGTATCGCGATGGGAAAGTCTGCTGTTAGGGACCTATCTAAAGTACTCAGGAGCAACGGTGTCTCTCTGGAGACTAAGGTGCACCTGATACAGGCCATGGTATTTGCAGTCGCTTGTTATGCCTCAGAGAGTTGGACAATGACTAGGGAGGACAGAAAGAGAGTGTATGCTTTTGAGCTGTGGTGCTGGAGAAGGGTACTGAATGTACCATG